GTTCACCTGATGCAATACTGGTGCCGACGTGCTTGCCTAAACTGAGGTCCTGAACTCAGCTTTCTCTGTTGCTGTGATGTTCACCTGAAAAAAGAAATTGGTAACTCTTCCTTCATAGAACATCAACGATCAAAACACGGTGATCCAGTGGCTTTCTTCTTTAGTCTCTACATGGAATGGGAAACTCAGGTTTGACCATGTCAAGCACAGGAATGCAAGATGAGCAAAGCCAGCCAAGAGAGATAGCCACAGGAAGGCAAGTGTGAAAGCCTCTTTTCCATCCTAAGTGACAACCATACATTACTATTTTTTACTTTTCCATGGCTTTTTTAAGTTCTTGCTTAAGAGATTCCTACAACCACAAACGGTCTACTTAGAGTTCGACGTTAATGGACTTTGATGACGGGGAGCGGATTGGAATTGGACAACCAATCAAAATCCGTATACAGCAGGAAAAGGAGAAGAGTTGGCATATCTGCTTGGAAATAAAAAAACCATACGATGCAGGAAGGGAGAAGAGATGGCTAACGATGACGTGACGTAGTAGTGCGTGGCCGAGCGTAGGCCACGGAGGCGGACGTGGCTGTGGACGGCAGCAGGTCGAGCGGCGCGAGGTTGGAGCCCACCTGCGCGCAGCCCGTCACCCAACCATGAAGTCTGATATACAATTCATAAAAAAATAATATACAACTTGTTTATGTGAATCATTGTCACAGAGTATTGCATTAGTAAATTAGTGAAGGGATTAAAATGATATGTGTAAATAAATGTCTATTTTTAAACCATATATTTAAGCTAATATTGTGACTGGTATTGTTGAATTAGTCTATAAAACCTACGTAGAGAAACAATGTTGTCAGACTTGGAGAAATTTTGACGCTTCAAGGGAAAATTTTCTTATCATGACTTTAAATTATTGAGATGGCCATGTAGAACAGCAAGAACCTGACATACTTAACACCTTGTTATTATTTTGCGTTTCTACTGTCATCAAGGAAACAGACATCGATTCCTCAAGAGGAACAAATGCATAGCTAAAACCTTATCTACTGAAATCGTTTGATAGTTGTCAAACATCACAGCATGCAAGCATTCAATGTATAAACAAGAGTGCTCAGAATAACTACTGGGCATCACCTGGTTCAGGCATATGAATTATGTCAGCTATGCTGGAACAATAGGATTCGGTGCCCGAAAAGGCTGGTTCGACAAAACAACAAAGCATGTCTCCAAATCAAGAGCATAGGTCTGTCCATTTGAACTCACTAAACATTTGAAATTGATTAAAGGTAGTGAAATTTGAAAACACAGATGTCTCGTGAATAAAAAATAGAAGGTCCGTCAATTGCTCCTACAAGTTTAGGAACTGTAGGATACATGAATTTATTTTACCCATGCCCGTGCTCTTATTAGCACCTAAACAGCCTTGATTTTGACTTGGCTACAAAGAATAGAAGCTCTTGAACAGGTTGTAATATCATAGTTTGCTAACTCAGCAAATAAATTGACTAGTATAAAAAAACTTGTGATAATCAGGGTGCAGATCTATTTACCAGAAAATCACCAAAGTAACTTGAGTTCTCAGTTTCAGGTTGATGCAGTAAGACAAGCACCAAAGTAACTCTACATGAGATAGGAGATTGATAGTCAGTGTGACATAATTGCTACTGAACACTCTTAAAAAGAGAATATAGCTGCAGGTTGAAGTGAATTTAGATCTCCTGATTTCTTTGAGAAATAGAGATAGTCATTGAAGTAAAGAGATTTCTTTTTTTTTTTGAAAAATACAGAGTCATCTGCAGGCTGACTGAACTGTAGACAAGACAAATAAAAGCCCATGAGATTAAACATATACAGGAGATATGTTAAATAAATGGTTGGTGTTTGCAAGGTATGAGTAAGCTAACTGTGTGGGGAAGCTAAATTGGTACTCTCGAAAAATGCAAACATGAAGATGCCCACTATCCTGCAACTTTGATAGCACTACAGAACCAAGGGCCAAAATATAGAATTATTTCAGCTTAGCAAGAGTAAACTCACGAATTTGCAAATGAGAAAAACAAAACACCCCCTCTTCAATAGAAAATACCGAGATTGTTCCCTGCATCATTAGGCTACTTGACCTACTTACTATTCAGTAGAGATCATAGCACGGTAAACTTAATTGCAGTACTGCACATAGGTTTCATCAAGGTGGTTTGTCGGAAATCAAAGTCTCTAAAATGAACAAATAAGCTTGGACCGTATCCGAAAACAACATCAAGTTTTACAAGTTGCATGGTGTGAAGTTAACGGCACAAAGCAAATTAACGACTGGGTGTGCACATGTCCGCATCAGATCTGGGTCCTCGGCTTCGCATAGAAGGAGAGAGGAAGGGGTGGGCATACTGCCGGCTTAACGCGGGACTGGAGGAGGCCGCACCCTAGAGCGCGCGGCGTCCGTCCGCCATCGCCACAGGAGGCGCCGTGGGTGCGCTACGGCCGCCCTCAATGGGGCACGCTGAAATATTTGGTATCGCTGGTTGCCTTGGTGCCGCCCAAGGAGTTGAGGCAAGACGACCGCTGCAAGGCCGCGCGGGATCTCGCCACTTGAACTTGACGCCACGCCGCCGCCTTTGCCTGCAGGATGCCTCGCCGCCTCCCCAAAGATCGAAGAGACGCGCTTGGAGAGCCGCACTTAAGCCGCTTGATTGCGCCGCATGGGAAGGTGCACATGCATGTGCCCTATGAGATCCGTGGTTGCGTAGGGAAGGTGGTTCATGGGCGGCGGAGGCGGGGGAAGGGCGAGCCAAAGGAGCGAGGAAAAGGCGCGCAGCCATGGGCGTGATCGGTGGACGTGATCTCGCAAGCGTGAGCCATCGCACACCAAGCAGGCCGAGGTAGTGCTCGCGGTATCGCACGGGGAGAGGCAGACCAAAAATAAATGTCGCACCAAAAAGTGTCCACGTTTTGTTCTTTTTAGTTGTAGGAGATAGAAGATCGTAGGAGATAGGAGATCGGAGATATATATAGGGCGTTGCTCATCGCTCCATGTTTTTTTTCGCCGCTCTCACGCTTTTTAGCCAAACGGTTTTAGCTCCAGACTCTGCTCCAAGAAAATGGTGGAGTTATGAGAGCACCTAAAGAGGTACTCCACAACTCCCAGAGTTTTTGTGGAAAAACAAATGTCGCATCATGAGTGTTACGGTTCTTTTTTAGTTGTAGGAAATAGAAGATCGTAGGAGATAGGAGATCGGACCCCCATATATATATATATTATAGGAGATTCCTATATTTTCGTTCCAAACAAACAGGGCCTTAACGATACACAGTCCAGCCCAACAAGACCCCTCTTATCCGACCCTGCTCTGCCCTACTCCCTACCCGACCCGGACGCATTGCGCCGCCAACCCACGTGCCTGCCACCCCGCCTGCACACCGCCCACACTAGCGCCGCCGACCACCGCCGCCGGAGGACGCACCGGTGCCGCGGCCGCCGGCGACGGATCTCCATCACCACCACACCCGCGACGATCTGCAGCTCCGACGTGCCTGCAAGACTACAAGGGTGCTCTGCGGCTCTGCCACAGGGCCACGCCTGCGGTGGTGACTCAGCGGCAGCCCGGCGACCTCCAGTGAGTTCCTTCCCCTTCGACTTGTTCGGCGGCCGGCGGCCCTAACCTCTATCGATCTAGTCTTGTTAATCTTGTTCTTCGATTCGGTTCTTGACTTCTTGTTTGTTTCTCCTTTCTCCTTCGGTCCTCCATGATCTTCCCCCAAGTAGATGGCAACAACAAATTCGAGCAGTGGTAGTGCCGCTGCCAGCGTTAAGTTCTGTGACGCACAATCTGCTGATTGTTGATTAGGTCCGCAGAGACGATCAATCAACTGTGTACTTGTTATAACTGTTATTTATTTATTTAAAATTTTGATGAAACGTATCCACGTATAGGGTTTTTTTTTTTTTGGAAAAATGCCGTGTTCGCGTGTCCATATCCGTGCTGGATCCGATCCAGCCAAGGAGCACATCTTTGCTGATGTTTGGCAAGTGCTTCTGGTGGTTGTTATCAGTGTCCTGAGAGGTCAGTGGTTCTGCTGTTCTGCTCCTGGGTTCTGTAGTGACCCCAGTGGCATAGCTAACATCCACAGCAGGAGTGGAAGCCTATGAATATACGGTACTCTATTGTCTCTTCTCCATCCCAGAAGCCAGATATCCTACTCCTGTTTTTTGGAATTAGTTGCCATCCTTTGTTTGTAGGTATTATCAACTGCAATGACTGAGTGACCTTAGTGCACTTTTGGTCAATTAGTACAGCTAACATTTACTCTGTGCAGATATATACAATATAGTCTGCTGATATATATGTTCACTACAATTTATGTGTAGGCTATTCTGATATGGGCCTCTGGAAGATGTTTGCGTTGTTTGCCAATCCATGGTAATGTACAACCCAGATCATGGGCGACTTCTAATTTGGGACACTGATCTGGGGACAATGAGCAGAATCGTGACACTAATTATCTTAGGCAAACATGATCGGATCATTGGGTCACGCAATCTGCTATCTGGGGACGATCATCATCACCATGACGCTGCGTGGAATTGTTTTAGGCTAACATGATCAGATCATTGAATCATGATTCTACAATCTCTTCTCTCCGTTTGATATGATAAATCACATCATATAGAAAGTATTTAGTATGGATTTATCATGAAATCATGCTGTTACTGTTACTTAGCTCAAACAGGGGATTGAGAGCCCCTAGCATATTAGTAGTAAGGACTGCACAAATAGCTGCCAATTTTCAGTGTTCACATATGGGTGAACAATGAACACACTAGTGAATCCTCCACCACAACACCCGCACTCCATCTCATCGTTGCTTATTTCATTCTTTTTTACTTGTTTCTGAGAAAAATATATTTTTTATTTTATTTTCACTGTGCAGATAGAAGTGGGGCTTGTGTGGATATGAAGGAATAAGTGGCCATCTTAAGAGAATTTGGAACGACAGAGGGCATGGAAAACCTGCTACCTGAAGATGTACTCACCAACATCATCCACCGTCTTGCACCACGCTACCTTGCCATATCCCGCTGCGTCTGCAAGACCTGGTGTACCATCATTGATGCCCACAACCTGCTGCGTGTGGACCTCCTCCCACGGTCGGTGTGTGGAATCTTCATTAACTTTAATGAGTTAAGCATGTCAGAATTCTTTTCCCGCCCCTCAAAAGGCCCAACGGTATCTGGCAACTTTGACTATTTGCCTCTCAGCTCCCGCATCATAGGCCACTGCAATGGGCTTCTCTTGTTTCGCAAGTATGTGGTTAATCCAGCCACACGACAGTCGGCGCCACTGCCCCCATGCCCAAGCCCAAATATGGTCGTAGAGCACTTTTTCCACAGGGAGTACCTTGTCTTCGACCCCACATTGTCACCGCATTATGAGGTATTCATGATCCCTGAGATCCAACAACCCAATGTGAGGTATAACATGTTGAATTCAGATGACAAGTTAGACCCTGCAATAGAGGAATTAGAATGGCCACCGTCGTCTTGCAGCCTACATGTGTTCTCATCAAGGACAAAGGTGTGGGAGGAGAGGTCGTTTGTTCGAGAAGGGGAGGCTGCAGGGAATGTTGCTGACATGCGGTTGGATCACCCATATGTTCCAGACACTTCTGTCTATTGGCGGGGAGTACTTTATGTATATTGCCAAAACAAGTTTGTTATGAGGTAAATACTCACTTCATTGGCATTGTCATTCATCTTTGTACCTAGTAATGAAACGAAAATTCAATTGTCGTTTATTAATATTTCTCAAATATTTGATTCTTGTAGAATATCATTATCCAATGGGAAATATCAAGTAATCAAGCCACCTTTAGATTGTGAGGGGATGGCATACACAAATCTTTATTTGGGAAAATCAGTGAAAGGGGTGTACTGTGCTGTGCATCACTTGGCATCCCATTTTTCGATCTATATTCTTGATGAATCGAGTGGCAAAATGGAGTGGGTATCCAAGGATTCGTGTAGTATTGAGGCATGTCAAATAATTGACGGGCCTGGACCCTGGACTTTACAAGATATTAACAATCAGGAGCAGGGATTTGAGTATGAAGATGGTAACAATGAGGCAGTGGTAGAGGACAGGTTTGAATGGGACTCAGACAATGATAATGTTATTGAGACCAACAGCAGGGACAAGTATAACTCTGGTGGTTATATTAATTTTCTTGTTGACACCAAAAGGAGCAGCAGATATAACTCTGGTGGTTATATTGATTTTCTTGGATTTCACCCTTACAAGGAGGTTATCTTCTTGAGTGATACGTTGAGAAGAGGATTGGCCTACCACTTAAATAGCTCAAAGATTCAAGACTTGGGCAACCTCCGTCCAACAAATTATGGAACAGAGGTGGGCATTCAGCCATTTATACAAGAGTCTTTTCCATACACACCTTGGATGGGATGGTTTCCAGAAGACAATTAATTTCATCTGGAAGATTAGGAAGTATTGCATATGAGCCAAGTTTTTCTAGGCGCTAGGCGAAATCTAGGCGATGACCCATAGCCTAGCGACTAGTCCAGCCTAGGCTAGCATAGGCGATGCTAGGCGTTTTGCCAATTTAGTATAATATATAATATATATAGCATAATATATATATATATATATATATATATATATATTTATATAGCAGAAATCATGAATAATTTAGATAGACATACCTTAGGTCCTTAGTCCTTACTTGTAGTTGATACAGAATAACAGAAGTGATGTTCCTTACTTGTAGTTGATGCAGCAATGCTCCAAGTCTCCAACAGTCCAACTGCAATGGAGAAGAGTAGAAGACAACAACAGGCAGCAACAGAGAACATAAAATGGATAGAAGACACACATTACAACACATGATTCTCAGTTCTTAGTTCTCACAACACAAAACACAAGCACACATGACAAAAGCAAAGAGTTCTAAGATCACAAAAGCAAAGCAAACATGACATGAGGATGTCTCACACTTCTTCGGTAGGGTTCATCTAATCATCCATCACATAGTCATCCTCATCTTCACCAAACTCTTCTTCTTCGGACTGGAACTCTTCTCCTTCATAGAGCTCTTCGAGGAGATGACCGCCGGGGAGGGTACTGGGCGGCGGGGAGTTGGCCGGTGGGGAGGCCCTTCGAGGCTTCGATGCGGGGAGGAGGACGAGCTGGGCGGAGACCGGGGAGGAGTGGAGGAGGACGAGGTCGGAACGGACTGGCGGGCAGGGAGGAGCGTCGGCGCCGGCGGAAGCTGCTTCCCGGCGGAGAGGAGCGTCGCCTGGCAGCGGAATAGCGTCGCGTCGCGGCCCGTACCCATCGTGGCCTTATCCGTGTGTGGCGGCAATTTCCCCGGCGCCAACCTTTCCATGCAGCAGCCGCCGGCCGCCAGGCCGACTTTTGGAAACCTGGGGCCGACTCGAGTCGATTCGCGCCGCCTAGGGCTTCTGGCCGCCGCCGAGTCGCGTGGAGGCGCCGCCTAGGCGCTCCCGTCGACTTGAGGGGCGACTACCCCCCCTAGTCCAGGCGCCGGGCCGTAGCCTAGCGACTAGGCGCGTCGTAGTCGTCAACTTTCAAAACTTGGCATATGAGGCATTGGTGCTCAGGACAAGCTGTGAGGTGCAACTTGAGAGTTCGTACCAGCTGAGTTTCTCAAGTTGTTCATTGTATCCAATAAGAAATTATTTGATGGCATTGGTGCTCAGGGCCCGTGCAAGCATTAAATGTGAGGTAAAATAAAAACTAATTGAGAGGAAATCATGTACTAACGTTTTGAGTAATTAGTCATGTTGAACACTATTTGCCAAATTGTCTTAAAGATTTCCCAAAAGAAATTCACCCAACTTTGATGTTAGACTACAGAACATGGGACCTGTCTGCTGTTACTGTTGCAGGAGCTCCTGCTATTTTCTGCTTCCGTATGCTTGCTACAATGGAAGTTTAGATGTTACAAATCAACAATTATGGTCATTCTCATGAAGAAGAACGTCCCATTCATGATGTGCGATAAGTTCCATACTTAAAAGTTGAACATGGCAGTGTTCAAGTCTCTAATCCCACGTCTAGCTACGTAACGTGTATCGTTTTAGTTTTATTTATCCGGATCAAACCTTTTAACTTGACTTTTATTTATGGAAAAATGCATCATTAAAATAGTTTGTTAAATCCATCGTTCCATATTATGCCTTCCAGTTAGAATCATTTCAGATGATGCTTTCATTATTGGATGGTCTTGCTTCTTTTTTCACTTCCATTTTCACTTTACTTTTATGCTCTTCTTCTTAATGTAATGATGTGCAGCTCTTGTGTGTTTTTAGAAAAAAAAATTACACTTACTTAAATGTCATCAAACAAGAAGGAATATATGGTTTTGCATGAAAAATCAAGCTGATGATAATCAGTTTGCCAGAGATGCATGCTCTAGGCTTACAAAAGCAACCCACACAGCCACGATATGGATTTGACTTGAGCATCATTTTTCTCTATTTCTAGCCACAGTTCCGCCAAATTATTATCGATCCCTTGTTGATTCAAGTTTCAGCATAACGAGAAACTCGAACAAGGCTGTATATACTCCACAGCTCCCTCCTGCTATTCTGCTATTGTACACTGAGAAATGACAAACCAGGAACTGGTAATTTATGCCAGCATGGTTGTACTGAAACTACATTCCAATGCTCCAGCATGGTTGTACTGAAACTATATTCCAATGCTCCAGAAAAGTACAGGACCTTTTATTTCCATACACTAATAATGCTGAACTCGTGCACAGATTTATCGACTATCGTCCTTCAAATCTCCAAGTTTACAAGAGGAAATTGCTAGGCTAAGAGGGTACCGGTCATCACAGTGACAGCTTCTCCCTGAATTCGCACACTCCTGGATGCAGCTTCCAGCTCCAGGTATAGTGTCCCGCTCTGTGGAGAAACCTGACGATATATGGATAAGTTCAAAAAAAAATCAGATATTTAAAAAAAATCAGTTTCATGGATGATGAAGGAAATGTTAAAGCATTTAGGAGGACATGACATACTTGAAGCGCCGTCAGTTTTTGTTTCCCCAGCTTCCCACACCAATAGGGTGCTAGAACACAATGTGCACTACCAGTAACAGGGTCCTGCCAAACTTAGAATGAAGTAATTAGGTGTCAGGACAGAACCACAAAATTTCTAGAATTCCCAACACCCAGAAGAACTTTATCTAAATATTCATAACAAATAGATCCTGCATGTTCTAAAGTGCTGTACTACACATGGTTTATATATCGACAATAACTTTTAGAACACTAACGGCACAAGGTAGCTATTTTCACTTGCGCCCGTCTGATGGCTTGTTTCAAATTAACTAGAAACACAGGCGCGGCAAAGAGTCCCAGCCTGTGGATGATGAATCGTTTATTCTGCAAATGGGCATATGGGGTATTGACATTTGTTTGGGCTCATATTTATTCCGTTGTATTTAATAAAATAGAAAATGTCAAATTCCATTTGCACAGGGATACCAGTCATTGTCAATTATTAAGTGGCTAAAATTTCACAGAAATTCATGTGCTTCAACGGCCCGGTGGTTCAAGGTAAAGCCAAAAGATTATGGTTAGCTACATGTTGTCAAGAGTTAAGTAACTCTTATATATGATCATATTCATTTTTACGATAGTTGCCAAGCAAATGATATGCTTATCATGTGCCACTTGGCTGATGAAATCTGGTCTCTCAGTTTCATGATTGCAATTGTGAAAAAATGAGTCACATTAACATTGAGATTCTCTAAGAAGAAAACAATCAATCGTACTGAAAGGATGTTAAAAATAGACTAGCCTATTAGGTATTGCTTTTTGAGATCTCCGGTGTTACTCACATGGAGAAGTTACAAAGCTTGATAGGACCAAACATTGGGTTCATGAATTGGACTATTATTGTGACAGCAGCTGTTACAAACTTGAAAATAGTACGTGCACATACAGATCAGCGGAACTACTATCAGAATCTCTTCACTGAATGCAGACAACTTGATTTTCAAAACTAACGAGTAAATGACCCATAACACACACTGCACATACTGACCGACTTTTTTTTTTTTTTAGCCTTTTTTTGAAAGATTTTCACAAATACGCGCCTAGCGGTATCCTTTTAAAAAATAGACCTTGACCTCGGCGTCGTGATAATTGGCGCCAAGCTTACACGTCGCCGAGGTCCAAGGTCATTTTCTGCGTGTCGTTGACGTGGCTACCTTCGTGGCGCGGATGTGTCCTGAGCTCGAGTGTCGTGGATCTTGGCGCCAAGCTCGGCTTCGTAGATCTTGGCGCTGAACTCGGCGCCAATTGCTATGGCGCCGAGCTATGAAAAATGCTAAATTTGAATTTTTACCATGACTTGGATATTGAGAAATATGACTGACTCTAAAGTTTTTACAGTGACTTGTTGTATGATCACTTAAAACAATCTAGTAATACATAAGATAAAAAATAATCTAGGGTTTATGTCCACGAACTAGCCTAAAAATGCTTATAAGTGTTGGATCAATAGTTAACTCCTTTTTTCATGATGTTGTTTTGACCAGGGTAAAACTATAGTTTCTTTTCTAGATGCGAAGTTTGACCTTTAGTAGAAGTTGTAGTTTGAGTTGAGTACAACAAACTTTGTTTTTGACCTAAATCTAAATCAGTCCTTAACATGGTCGCATAGTGACCACAAGTTTGAATACAGTGATGTTTTGACCCCTCCAAATCTTTCTAATTCCTTGATCGCCGGCAGTGAATTGACATGTTTGAGATATTTTATCTTCCAAATTTGTATAGCAACTCAATTTGATATCATACTACGAGTTTGAATATTCTCTGAGGAGATGACAATAATACAAGTCTCGTTAAGTTTGGACTTAGCCACGATAAAAAACCAGAATTAGTCACGGTCATAAATTCTAGACTTAGCCATATTTTCACGTGCTTACATGTCATGACGTGCTTATAGGTGAGGTGTGTTGCGTCCCTGCTTGCATGCCTGCACATGTGTATGGTTCATTGCATGCACAAAGTGTGTACTACTACTCCGGTTAGCAATGCAACAAAAGCATGGAGCCGTGCCCTGCATCATCCGGCCGTGCTGTAGGAGCCGATCTATACTATGGCGCCTAGACGTGCTATAGTTCCATTTGGTCAGACAAATTTTTTATCTTAAGTATTTCTAGATTGTTTTAAGTGATCAAAACAAGTCAATGTAAAAACTCTAGAGTTAGCCCCATTTCTCAATATCCAAGTCATGGTAAAATTTTAAATTTGTTAATTTCCATAGCTCGGTGCCGTAGCAATTGGCGCCGAGCTCGGCGCCGTAGTAATTGGCGCCACGCTCGGCGCCAAGATCCACGGGGCCGAGCTCAGGACACATCCGCGTCGCGCAGGTAGCCACGTCAACAACACGTAGAAAATGACCCTGAGAGCTCGACACCAAAGCAGTCTCGGCGCCAATTGTGACAACGCCGAGGTTAGGGTCTATGTTTTTGAAAGGATAGCGCCAGGGACGTATTTGTAAAAATCTTTCAAAAAAAGAGTTAAAAAACAAAAAATCGGACATACTGAGTACAGATAGTTCCCATATTTCTTGAAGTTCGTCAGGGAGAAAGAATAATAGGCGTTTTTTGCAAATTTCTACTGCATGTTGTGGCACCTTACAGCACAAAATCTCCGCTAGAAACCCAGTTGAGAGTCACTATGGTTTTGGGTGGCTACCATACCAAAGGGCAAAGGACATCTTCAGTTATTGAAGCTTGTGGAGTTTTGCTGTTGAACGATAACTTTATCCATAGCCTCGAAACTTCAATAGGCCATGAAGAGGGCGAGGAGCAGTTTGCTTGATTGGTGTGGGGCTATTGTTAATTGTTGTATTCGCCACTTCCATTCTTGCCTCATTGGCCCTAATCTTCAACAAGCCTGCAATTAACATCCCAGTAGTAATATTCAATCTAAAATTTAAGCTGTAATTAAATTTAAATGTAATACTTATATAGATCAATTTGGTAGAAATTTTTAATGCTTTACTGTCTAGTAGTCAGGAGGCAAAGAACATCTTTATATATTTAATATCATTTTATACTATAATGGCATAATCTAAAATCTAAGGTCACTGCTACGTACCCACTTACTATATATAAGTAGAAATTTCAATCTATGTGCACTGTGTGGACAATACCATCGGCAGTGCACGGAGATACACATAGGGGCTGCAAAATACTGTTACAAGGACAACACCGTCCATGTGTTGGCTACATAACAATTATCTTCCAAATCTGTCTTTTATTTCTTTGTTCAGGCATGCTAACATATGA